GGATATTGGGATTCCCCTATCACATCTTGAATATATTTATCTTCCTTTTATTCTTCAATCATTTATAGGTTTTTCCCTACTTAAGTAGGATTTATATCCTTATTCATTTATAGTATTTTATTTAGTTATATAGTTTACACCAGGACAGGCCGGTAGTTAAACAAGCAAGTCTTAGGTTATATAGTTTGAATAAATTTACCAGATACATTGAAAAAAAAAAAAAAGAAAGTTTGAGGAATACCAAGTTTAATTCTGACAAGGGATATGAAAATCTAGCCAACTTTTCATTTTTAGTTGCAATTATGCAGATAATACAAATCCGACCTACTATAACGAGAACTTTACGAGACTATTCACAATGGGGGATGTACAAAAAAGTTCTTGAGAAAGATTGTTTCAGTCTCACAGACTATAAACTTATCATTATCCTCACAATTATGGTGAAAACTCTCACCAAAAACTATCACACTGGTAAGGAATAGGGAATGATAAGATTAATCAAATAGGTAACTGGAATAGCAACGTATCTTTTCTTTGGATTGACGCCCAAGTTTCAAAACGAGAGTTGGGGTTAGTTTCTGGTAGCATTAAAGTCATCGAAGATAGTCATCAAGAAACTTTGGTAAGTTGAAAATTTTGATGACCAAACAATGCATTTTAATACTTGCAAAACATAAACCTACGGTCGTTTCACTTGGTACATTTTGGCAAGAGCTGTGTTATGCGGATACACATTGAAATACATTCCGCCAGTGAAATATATATATCTGTTTAGATGTAAGAGACCATCCGTATCTGTTTCAACTCGAGTCAAATAACTGAGAGAAAGAAACACAAAAAGGGGTTTCTTTACTCTTTTTTGGATCATCAACTGTCGCCCCCTTAAGCTTCAGAAAATCATTTAAATTTAACCGGAATCAGTTTTAACTGACCCTCAATAGGGAAGAATCACCATCACAACAGACAAATCCATTTCAAGTTTACAACGAAGAATTTATTTTTTGCTGACCAGGATCAGTGGGTTTCATAGTTACAGAACCTGGATAGATACTGCTAGATTGATTGGTCTATTAAGTGGACGAGGGTTGCTTCAACTTCATCGAGAATGTATTTATTATTATTAATATTTTAAAGATCGGAATGTAACTCATTTTTGCCTCATTCCCCCACAAGTGTCAATATAGGCTCACTTGATCTTGCTATCTTTAAGACTGTTATAAAAAATTTGAAAAACCAGGGTGAAAACTGTTATTTGAGGCTATCTGTCCAAGAAGTCCTGACAACTTTTCGTAAAGAAGAGAAATGAGGATGCAGGGTTAAGAAAGGAGTCTTCAAGGATTTGAGCGCTATTCTAAATTTCAAGAAGTTTCTTTTATTTTTTGTACGAGTCTTCTCAGAAAAGTAAACAACAAAGCTACAGAATAAGATAACCTTCTCCCATCGTTTAGATTAGTGTTGAAAAGGGAGAGACATCCAGCTACCAAACATCCTGTAGGGCCGCTCACAGTCACAGCCCCGTGCGGCCCCCGCCGTAAAGCCAAAAACGACGCGTCGATATTAAATGTTTGCCCTTTCTTCATGGCAGAACAAGGCACACTTTAAACTCCATCTATTTATTGTATTGATTGCAATCGGTCCATGTTCTCTTGGGACTCCAAAACTACCTAGTACAGTATAAAAATCAACTATAATACAACAATAAGATACGCTCATTTTTTATTAGCTACCATTACCCAAATTTAGTGTGCTTCAATTTACAACTTGGCAGACATATACCTTGTTCATCCACACCAAATCGATTGCCTGTTAGGACAGTTGGTCTCTAAATATGCCGGTAAATAGAGACGATATACCTCCAAGCCAACCAGAAAGACCTAGTGAAGCACTAGAGCGATTGAATGAGCAGTTTAACTCCTTCAGAGTGAGAATTCCGCTAACCTCCAACAGGAGAAACGTCAGAATATCGTTCAACAATAATATCAATGACATAAATACAACTGCACCAAACGATGATTCATTTTCATTAAGCGAAAGAAACAACGCCACATTGGAGCTAGACCGTTCAAATAGGGATTTACCGTCAAGTGCATTATTGGGACAAGAGGAGGCAGGCGATCAAAACCAATCCCATGACCATATCAGATGGTCCAATGATGACAATTTTAGTATCATCCCAAGAGTTTTAACTACAGATCCTGCAAGTAGAAGTATAACTTCCTCCTCATTTTTTCGAAACCACCCAGAGCATAATGCCAATCATGGATTATCTACTGCGATTCATGAATATGGACTGATGGGACTGATGAATAAGAATTTGATGGAAAGAAGAACAGGAGAATATGCTAAAATGAAAAGAGCAGCTCAACTGAGAAGAATTGTAAGTATTGGCAATAAAAGAAAGTTTTGTCAATTAGATAGTCTTGAAACTGAATCAGATCTATCCAATATAGGGAAACTAAATGCTAAATCAATGAGTTCTAGTTTTATTCAGCCTGGTGTTATGTATTCCATCAATAGTGATGATAACATCTCGACACATCTGAAGTTTACTGAAATGTTTGATAATGATCAAAAGGTGAAGGGTTTAATTGAATCGGGATTTGTGACTTTGGAGTTCACCGGTGAAATTGTGAACTTTTTTGAGAACGATTTGAGGTTCGAGGATGGTATCAAGACTGGTATTGAAGCTTCAGTCTTCAGTAATTTACTACGAAATAGTCTGTGCTTTGATAAGGATATTAGAAAATTTGTTGGCAGACACAAAAGAACAAATGATTCCGATCCTAATTGGAAACCATTTTTCCTGGACAAGTTCGGATATCTCAAAGTCAATGCTGAGAGACGACAGAAATCTGAGAAGTATAAAGAGACCAAATTTCCAAACTCCTCAATATTTCACAAAGTTTCCAATATGTGTGGAAATAAAGGCTCTACATATAAATGCTTGACTAAATGGTTTGACTTGCCACCGTTTAATGAATTTGTTAACACTCCGTCTCCACCAACACCCCCTGGTGGAAGAAAAAGAACGATGAACAATCCTGAAAACTTATTGGTTTGTCCTGATTGTCAAGATCTCATTTTAGAGAACTTTGTTTTGATGAAATTGGAAATCGATTTGGAAGATTTGTTAAAAGACCCTAAACATCCCACTACAGACTTGAAGATTCGAAACGACATGAGGTATAAACGTCGTAGACGGCTTAAACCAATTCCAGCACCAGGGTCACCGTTGAATAGCGCTGTTAATGAACATGCTAATGTTAATATCTCGAACAATAGCACCACATCATCGCATACGACTGATACACTGAATGCCTCAAATGCCGCATCTAGTACCACTGCAACTTCGCCAACTACACCTTTCCAACCTCTGCCCCCTACAAATAGACCCCATTTCTATCATCACGATTCCACAAGGGGGTTCATTGTTGGAAGAGGCCAGGGCCATTTTATTGACAATTTCAGACCGAGAGATGGTGATAGGCCTAGAAGAATCAGACTGTTGGATTACCTTGTTGCAAGGCAACAGTGGAGATATGATCCCGATCTTCCACGTATTGCTCCATCGCAACGTGGAATCAACAATACCCACGCTAACGATGATTTGTCAACTGATTCTGATTTCTCAGATGATGATGTTGGCCATACGTTTTTAATGGATAATGATGATGACGATATTGCTCGAGATGGTGACGATGACGAAGAGGAGGAGAATGAAGATGAATCAAATTTTGACGAGCTTTTTGAGGTTGAATTATCTAGTGGTAGGTCAAGAAGAATTGAGAACTTGTTGTTCGAAAGAAATTTGAATAGGGAGCAACAACATCATAGAAGAGGAAACGTTTTGGCTAGAAAATTATATAAGAATTCTAGCTCATCGAAATTGAAGTTGAGAATTTTTGTTTCAATCAACAGACTTTCTGGTGAATTGTATTTTATTCCTGCAAATTTGGATCGTAACAACTGGAGTTCAGAAGAAAATGATGGAGATTTATTCGGGGATCGAAAAACGTTCAAGAAGCTGTACGATCTGTTCAATACATCAACAGATGACTACAGATCGAGAAATGCAGGTAGTGATCATCTTCAACAATTCATGAAATTTAAGACATATTTAGACACGGACAAAAAGGCTGAAAAAGCACGTATTCAAAAATTGCTGCTATTGAACTTGATAACCAATCCAGGCTTATATGGCACTAAGGTAGACCAAACACCTACAACAACACAATTTGAAGCTAGTTCATTTAGCAACTTACCATCGATGTCATCCTTAGCTGCAAAAGATGACTTGGCATCACTCGGCAAGAGGAAGAATAAGCAGCACGAGACAGATCTTGATGAAGAACAGTTGACTGAAAATAGAGAAGCAAATACCAATATATTGAATATTGTTCACGAGAATATCAATTTTGGTTACGATTCTAAGAAAGCACTGAAGCTTAGACCAAATAGTAGCTCAACTACAAAGGGTAATTCTAATCTTCTTGGCTCCTTTTATTCTTTCGGGTATGCTTGATGAAGCATTTTTCTTTTTTTTTTATCATTTTATTTTTTTGCATATT